TGATCACGGGCATACTCCTTCAGGAAAGATGGGTGCAGCACTGCACAGCCGTGATCACACATGTGTTCCCCGCACAAGCGCGACTGCAATCGTGGCCATCTCCCCACTCGGCAGGGTGCGGAGATGGCTGCGATCTTGGTCACCACCCAAAGCGGAGTTCGTGACCCAAGTCAAAATGTTCATGAAATTTTTGTTTGTGACCCAAGGTGTTCATGACCCAAGGCATTCGTTAGCCAAGGTACCGCTGTGTCCGAGCCTCCCCTCCAATCCAGGTAGCCATAGATTGTTGTTTAGTTTAGTAAATCCACCATGGCTTATCATGTTATCCAAACCCAGATGACACACTAAGTCTTGTAGAAGAGAAAAGGCTACAGAAGCCTTTGGTCAGAGCAACACTAAAGGATTGCCACTCTTGCCAAGGGGCTTTTGGCAATGAGAGCCAGCAAAGTGCCCAAGCAGCACTTTACATTGCTGCCATCAGCTTCCCCTCATTCTCTTGTCAATGCAAAACAGGTAGGGTTGTTTAAAAGTGATTCCCCTCTCCCTGCATTGACAGAAGTGGGGAGAAAAGTTGCCAAGCTCCATCATGTGCCACCTACTCAACCCTGAACTTTGGGGAGGCAGTGTGCAGTGGGAGAAGTAATTTTTGTTTCCTCTTGAGGGTCAAAGGCTGCAGTGGTGGATGCTGAGAATAAGCCACTTGGTTTGCTTCCCTTGAGAGGAAGGCAAGCAGAATGGATTGACAGCCTGCTGGCTGCTGTGCACCACCAGGGGAAATGGTAGGTGTAGCCATTTGTGGCCTGTTCCCCACCAGCTACGTCTGCTTTTCTGGGCTGGCATAGAGGAGGAGGGCGCTGAGCAGGCTGGCTAAATCCACCCCCCCCCCACCCGCTGGCAAAAGATACAGGTGAGCATGTGCTCTTTCCCTGCACCATGTCTCTATGTGCGATTAGTGGTGCCATTTGCAAATTCCATAAGCTGGACTAAGCACATTCTTTTTCTATGCCAGTCCCAAATGCCAAGTGGAACCAGCTCAAGCTGGTCCCTGGTCCCTACTGACTGTGCCTGCCATCCCCTCCCCCGCACACACCCGTGTGCCAGGAGGGGGAAGGGGGGCAAGCCGCCTTGCACTCTGCTTCCTCTTGAAGAACCACAGCAGCTGGCAGCTCAGGACTTTCCCTCACTCTGCACAGCCACTGCTTCGCCTTCACAATGGCCATGTAGAACAAAGGGAAAGGACTTCCTTCATCTTCCTGGGAAGAGGTAAGGAAAAGTGACCCCAGAGGGAGGGCAAAGAAAAAGCACTGGAGCTGAGTTGTGGGAAGGGATGGGCCACTTTGAACTAGGCTCCCACGCAACATTAGGTTTCCCTGCCCTCCCCACACCATCTTCCCTGCCACGTACTTCTGTTCATGCTGGGAAAGCAGAACTGCTCACAAGCAATCCTGCTTTCTCAGCATCACTGGAAGTGCAGGCAGGGAAGCAGATGACATAGCTGTCAAAAGCACTCACTTATCAGCAACTCCCACTCCTAACTGGGAGACTGAGGGGGGAAGAGGGGGAGACTGCCTCAGGAACCCTGCTATGCCTGATCGTTAGCCATTGAAATCCATTTCTTTCCATGATGACCATTGCTAGCATTGCAAGAGCCACAAAATATTTTTCCTCTTTCTGCCCCATCCATGTTGTTCTTCTCAAAAAGACTTTCAGCAAAGCCATGCAAGCTGCACCAGAGAAAATAACTACCTGTAGAGAAGCCAATCACTTTGAGTAGAAAAGACAAAATTTAAACATTCCAGTAACAATCTTCTTCACAACCTCAGCTTCACTAATTCTATTAGTGAAGAGTCCATCCTACTTTTCATTTAATGCCATAGCCCCATTTTAGTCAACAAGCACATACAATATTTTTCAAATGTTTCAAATGAGATCTTCAAGACCTTTGCATGCAATGAATAATGACACAAACGCATTATCAGTCTGCCTCCATTTACTACAGATGAAACCAGCCAGTATACAAATAAGATGATCCCTCAGATAGTCACATACATCATCCTTGGAGAAACAGGGGGAAATTCTTGTGCATCATGTTTTACAAAAAATATTCCAAGAGTTATCACAGTTCTAAAGCAGTATATGCTAGTATTTGTGATTCAGGATGTGTTAATCGAAACCTGGAGGCTACCGGAACTTGGTCAAATGGGGGAGGTGTGTGTGTGCGTGTGTGTGTGTGTGTGTATAAAGGTTTCCCCTTGACATTAAGTCCAGTCATGCCTGACTCCAGGGGGCGGTGCTCATCTCCGTTTCCTAGCCGAGGGAGCCAGCGTTTGTCCGCAGACAGTCTCCGTGGTCATGCGGCCAGCATGACTAAACACCGAGGTGCACGGAACGCTGTTACCTGCCCACCAAAGTGGTTCCTTTTTATCTACTTGCATTTGCATGCTTTCGAGCTGCAAGGTTGGCAGGAGCTGGGAGAGAGCAACGGGAACTCACCCTGTTGTGCAGATTCGAACCGGCAACCTTTGGATCAACCAGCCCAGCAGCACAGCAGTTTAAACCACTGCGCCACCTGCATCCCTATATATACAGTGTGTGTGTGTGTGTGTGTGTGTGTGTAATTAAAAAACAAACAAATACAAAAGTCATGTAATAAAGGGTGGCGGAGAAGCTCTCGATACACAAAATGAAGTTTAAAAAAACAGAAATCACCCTTTATGCACCTCTTCACTGGGACCATGGCTGTATAATATTGTTTTGTTTTGTTCATTTTTCCAAGATGCCTGCTTCCAACCAAAATTGCAATATATCCTTTGAGGGTTTATTACCCTCCCCTTTTATTAATACATAAACAAACCCCATATATTGTTAAAATCATTCTTTACCAATCCCTTTTTCACCCTTATCTCACACATCAACTTGTCAGTAACTGCTATATTATTTATTTATTTAGAAAATTTCTATGCCACCCCATTCACCAAAGCCTCGGGGTGGCTCACAACATAAATAACTTCAATTAAAATAATATAAATTAACAGTATAAAATAAGTCACCCTGGCCAAAAAATAAATAAATACTATTAACTGTTAAAATGACATTTGAATAAAAAGGTCTTCGCCTGGTGCTGAAAAACAAATAACGACTGCGCCAGGCGGACTTCTCTGGGGAGCGCATTCCATAGATTGGGCACCACCGCAGAGAAAGCCCTCCTCCGAGTACTCACCCTCCTAATTTCCTTCACGGAGGGTTCCCGGAGAAGGGCCTCTCCCGCAGATCTCAGGGGGCGGGCGGGCATATATGGACGTAAGCACTCCTTCAGGTAACCAGGACCCAAGCCGTTTAGGGCTTTATAGGTCATCACGAACACCTTGAATTGGGCCCGGACTTCAATGGGAAGCCAGTGAAGTTGACGGAGGACTGGAGTCATGTGAACGTAACACCCAGTCCCCATCAGCAGCCTGGCAGCTCTATTTTGAACCAACTGAAGTATCCGGACCGTCTTCAAGGGTAGCCCCACGTAGAGCGCGTTACAGAAGTCAAGGCGGGAAGTCACCAACACGTGTGTCACTGTCGCCAGGCAGTCGTACTCCAGGTAGGGGCGCAGCTGATGGATCAGCCGAAGCTGAAAGAAAGCGCTCCTTGCCACCACTGTCACCTGAGCTTCCAGTGAAAGCTCTGGGTTGAGGAGCACTCCCAAGCTGCGGATCTTGTCCCTAAGAGGGAGTACAACCCCATTCAGGACTAGGTTCAATTCACCCTCACTGAAACCCGATCTACCAACCAACAGAACCTCCGTCTTGTCTGGATTGAGCTTCAGTTCCTCATCCAGCCCATTACCTCGGCCAGGCACCGGTTCAGCACAGCCACTGCCTCACCTGGATTGGTGGAAAACGAGAGGTAGAGCTGGGTATCATCAGCGTATTGATGATTCCGCAGCCCACACCTCCTGATGACCTATATTCCAAACTTCTTTATAGCATTCACTTAATTGGAGCTCCCTTTTTTCTTTCTAGTCTGTTGCTATTACCAATTTTGCTGCAGATACCAAATTTATTATTAATTCTTATATATTCCATTTCCATATCATTTCACCAAATATTAGCAACAATGCTATTTCAGGATCTGCTTCAACTTTTAGATTCAATAATCTTATTAAAAATATTTATCCAGAATTTATTGATGTTTTCACATTCCCATCACATATGGAAATAGATACCCATATTTCATCCACATCTCCAACATAAATTAGAATATTTATTATCCATATAAAATAATATAACCTGGGTCATATACCATTTTCATACTAATTTATTTAAAAACTCCTTAATTCTAATTGAAATACTTTTTAATATTCTCTTATCACATATTTTCCCCATAATCATCCTTCTCTATATCCATCCCTAAATCTGTTTCCCATGAAATTTTAAAAAGATCATACATATCTTCCCTGTCTAATAAAATCTTATATATCTCCCTTATGATCCCCCTTGTTTGCATTTTGCCTTGTGTCTCCCTATTTCATCACTATCCACTGAAATTTGGTAAGATCTCTGGAGTCAACCATTTTTCTGCAACCATTCTCTAGTCCATTCTTTCAACTGTATAACATTAAACCAAGTTAATTTTCCTTTTCCAGATAACGATTTTATCCTTTCCTTGTTATCCATTTTCTCCATCCAATCTTTTACTTTCTTTCAATACCTTTCTTAAACTATCCCTCAAATTTTCTGGAAATCTCGTTTCTATAACTGAAGTTATTGGTGAGGTGATTGCCACAAATTCCTTCCTATACTTCTCCCAAATTCATATCAAATTATTTAAAAAGGGATTTCCTATCCTTTTTACAATTTTCTCATCTTGTTTAAAGAAAATGTTTAAACAAAGATACCTCAATTTCCTGTTGTTCAATTTCTGCCCATATTCTCTGGGGAGGGTTATTTACAGTGAAATACTGTAGTAAGAGATTTTTCTGGCAATTAGTGAAAGATTGGTAAAAGTCATACCTCTGGCTCCCTTTGGAATATAACAACACGACCACCTTTGTCTCCTGTTGCCAGCAACTCCCCTGTGTGGTTGAATTCAACAGTTGATATTATGTCTGCTGCAGAAGAAAATTAAAGAATGCAAATTACAATGGGGTAACCACATGAATCGGAAGAAATATCATATGTTCCAGAAGGCAGAAAACTTTGCTTCCCCCTTCTTCTCCTGAGTCCAACTTCAAGCGATGGTATAGTTGAAAAGAGGAATGCAGGAGAGTGCGTGCCACAGACACAGAGGGTGTGCAAGCAAGTGAAACAGAAAAGCACTGCAGACATGAGTTCCAGAGCCAGAAAAGTGTTCAGACCCAGAGACCTGTAGCAAGATTGTGAAAGCAAGTAAGTCAGAGAGAGAGCGAGAGAGCCATGTTAAGGCAGGGAACAGTTCTTGACTCAGAGAACTCTAATATGCCCCAGGAATGCATGGCTTGTGTGAGTAGGCCAACCAAAAACAAGTTTCAAAAACATTGAACATTGAAACATTGAGTGAAGTATTGCATGTAACTGAGCACACAGTCCTCTCTGATTCCCTCTCAAAACCAGAGAGTGCAGAGCAAGATGCTGGTACAGGACTGAAACAACAACTACAAGAAAACAACTCAATTATATTCCATTAATTAAAGGTAACCATAACAATGTATACATGAACCCAAAAGATATCAATTCAGAATTTCAAAAACTTTATTTTAAACTAGAAAGGATATTGTTTGGAAAATTCAGCTAAATCCTGGCAGAAAAGAGTTGCTTATGTGTATTTGAGGAGGTTAAGTCTGAGGAGGTTAAGTCAATCTACTTTGTTGAAAAAAAATAATATACTTATAATGAAAAATTATCTCTGTAAGATGTCACATACAAATTGAACAGGACAAAATGTAAACCAAGCAGGATACAAATTTGCTTCATAGTGCTGATTTACATACAGCAATTAAAAATCTGCTGGCTTAAGATAAGACTTTTGGCTATCTCAAAAGTCTGGTCTTTACAGAGCTCAAGTTCCATAAAGCCCATCTCTGTGATATACAAACCATGACCAAATAGAACAAACTCATTTGGGACCTATTCAGAATAGATTTTTTCCTAAATTAGTCATTAGCAGACTTTCAGGATCACAGACTTATACCTTGCAGGATTCTGTGCCCCAGAAAAAATATACTAAAAAAGGCAGACAGACATGACACTTAAGAACAAGAAAAGCAGTTCTGGTGTACTTTCTCTTCTAAGCATTTCATCTACTTCTTCAAGTTTATCTTTCTTCCCCCACTGAAGTTCATATTATGAGGGAGTTCAGGATGAGAGTTTAAGAAATACCTTCAAGTTAGAACATAAGTAGTGACTGGGTTGGCACAAAATGGCAACCCATTGCAGGTAAAAGGATATGGTGGATTGCTGTGTTCTGTGGATCCAGACCACTTATCACAGAGTTGCCTGTTTGGGGCAACAAGCACCCTGGCAAAGCATGGCTTATTACAGAGATGGTTCAAACTCACTGAGTTGCCACGTCATCCAAATCTGCGTGTCTGACCCTATCGAGTATTATAGAAAGCAGAGAGAAACCTGCTCAGCTACAATGGGAAAAGTTCTTAGTAGGATTACCCAGGCCACTGCCAGGAACAGCTACTCTAGTGATGCCCAGGTGGCACTTGGGAGCAACCATCACTGGCTTAGCTTTCCTTCTCCACTTGTAGCCCCTTTTGGATTGCCACTGCAGTTTTTCCATTTTTTTTTCTCTTTTTTGATCTTGTTGCAATCCCTGCTAGGCACAGCCGCTAACAGCCCCTTCAAAGTGTTGCAAATTGCAGCACCCCAAAACACCACAAAAGTCATTGGCCGGAGGAAGGCCCCAAAATTAGTTGGCCAGAGGAAGGCCACATACTAAAAACACCACAGTTATACTGTTCCAGAAGGGAGGGTGCAATAAGAACAAAATGAACTTTGTGTAACCCACAGCTAACACACTAGCCTGACCTCGAATACAGTAATCAAAAGGACAGTAGAAACTGGTTATAGCTGTCATGAAAGTTCCAAATGTGCAGGGAGTAAGAACATGGAGTAAGAACGAGCAGATAAGAAATAGACATGGGAAATGTCTGGTCCTTGACAGAAGAAATGACTCTTTGAAGCTAACAGCAGTGTGGGTGTGGCTACATTGATGTACTGATGCATTAGAAGTGTATTAGGTGACCTAATTGCTCACCTAGGGTATAAAACACATGTACCGGGGTGCAACTTTTGAGACATTGCTTTGGGCTGAACATCCCCCTTCGTCTCCTTTTATTCTATAGTGCACTAGAATAAAGCTGGTTTTGGTTCTAAGTCTCATCTCAGGCTCCTTTTGACTTGGGTCTGGGTCCACCCGGGTTTGTCCTAGCTGTTGGCTGGCTGAGTTCGGTAACAAAAATGCCCAGGTTCATCATATATTTTTAATTATTATTTGTAGGTGCCAGAACTCCTTCATGGATCACTGCCTTGTTGTGGCGAAGGGGCTTACGTAGCTCAATGAAGCTATGAGCCATGCCATGCAGGGCCACCCAAGATGGACAGGTCATAGCACAGAGCTCTGACAAAACGTGATGCACTTGAGAAGGAAATGGCAACCCACTCCAGTATCTTTGCCGGGAAAACCCCATGGACAGTACCAAAAGGCAAAAAGATATGACTCCGGAAGATGAGCCCCTCAGGTCAGAAAGTGTCCAATATGCTACTGGGGAAGAGCAGAGGGCTAGAACTAGTAGCGCCAGAAAGAATGAAGCAAGTGGGTCAAAACCGAAAGGACATTCAGTTGCAGATGTATCTGGAGGTGAAAGGAAAGTCCGATGCTGCAAAGATCTATACTCCATAGGAACCTGGAATGTAAGATCCATGAATCAGGGCATGCTGGATGTGGTCAAACAAGAGATGACAAGACTGAACATCTCTTTAGTTCACTGACATCTTAGGAATCAGTGAACTAAAATGGACAGGAATGGGTGAATTTAATTCAGATGACCATCACGTATACTACTACAGGCAAGAATCCCTCAGAAGAAATGGAGTAGCCTTCAGAGTCAATAAAAGAGTAGGAAAAGCAGTACTGGGATACAATCTCCAAAATGACAGAATGATCTCAGTTCAAATCCAAGGCAAACCTTTCAACATCACAGTAGTCCAAGTCTATGCCCCAACCACTGGTGCTGAAGAGGCTGAAGTTGACCAGTTCTATGAAGGTCTTCAACACCTTCTAGAATTAACACCAAAAAATGATGTCCTTATCTTCGTGGGGGATTGGAATGCTAAAGTAGGAAGCCAAAAGATAACCGGAATAACAGGCAAGTTGGCCTTGGAGTACAAAATGAAGCAGGGCACAGGCTGGTAGAATTCTGTCAAGAGAATACGATGGTCATAGCAAACACTCTTTTCCAACAACCCAAGAGACGACTCTACACATGGACATCACCAGATGGTCAACACAGAAATCAGATTGACTACGTGCTCTGCAGCCAAAGATGGAGAAGCTCTATACTGACTGTATAGAG